CACATCCGTGAGCAAAAGGGGGTGCGTGTGAGAAGGGACTCTACTGAGTTCCTCATGGCCCCGGCACTCCCACATGACCCCAGGTGCAGTGAAGATCACCCCTGCTCATGACCAGAACGACTATGAGGTTGGACAGAGGCATGGGCTGGAGGCCATCAGCATCATGGACTCCCAAGGGGCCCTTATCAGCGTGCCCCCGCCTTTCCTGGTGAGACTGGGTGTGGGGGCCAGGTCTGGAGGCAGAGGGGTACCTAGGCGTGGCCATACTGAGGCCTCTCTCCCACCCAGGGCATGCCCAGGTTTGAGGCCAGGAAGGCAGTGCTAGCAGCTCTGAAGGAGAGGGGACTATTCCGTGGCATTGAGGACAACCCCATGGTGGTACCACTTTGCAAGTGAGTGTGGGGGCCAGAGAAGGGCACTCCTCAGGGTGCTCCCCACCCAACCTCCACACCCATTTGTACCTGCAGTCGGTCCAAAGATGTGGTGGAGCCTCTGCTGCGACCACAGTGGTACGTGCGCTGTGGGGAGATGGCTCGGGCTGCCAGTGCTGCTGTGGCTCGAGGCGACCTCCGCATCCTGCCTGAGGCCCATCAGCGGACATGGCACGCCTGGATGGACAACATCCGGTGCGTCAGGCTCAATGTTGGGAGGGTGACTGGGTGAGGGACTGAGCTGGACACAGGCCAGGGCACCTCCTTACCCTGACTCTTCCTTTCTTACTATTGGCAGGGACTGGTGCATCTCCCGGCAGCTGTGGTGGGGCCATCGCATCCCAGCCTATTTTGTTACTGTCAATGACCCAGCCGTACCTCCTGGGGAGGTGAGAACTGGGCCAGAGTGGAAAGCCACACATCTGGGGGAGCTGTGGTTTGTTGGGTCTTGGGTGGGGGTGGGGGCAGGGCAGGGATGCCCCCCTGGGTACTCACTTCACCTGTGGCAGGACCCTGACGGGCGGTACTGGGTGAGTGGGCGCAGCGAGGCCGAGGCCTGTGAGAAGGCAGCCAAGGAGTTTGGAGTGTCCCCTGACAAGATCAGTCTCCAGCAAGGCAAGGCCGGGGTGGGGGACACCTAGAGGGTGGAGGGCAGAGCTGGGCCTCTGATCCTCACCTCTGCCCCATCTGACCTCTAATCTTTGGCTTCTTTCAGATGAGGATGTATTAGATACCTGGTTCTCCTCTGGCCTGTTCCCCTTTTCCATCCTGGGCTGGCCCAACCAGGTACGTCTCTGAGGCCAGCCCAGGTTGTTGGGGGGAGGGTCTTGGAGGTGGGCGCTTGGCTCCCCATAACATCCTGCTCTGCCCCCAGTCAGAAGATCTGAGTGTGTTCTACCCGGGGACACTGTTGGAGACGGGCCATGATATCCTCTTCTTCTGGGTGGCCAGGATGGTCATGCTGGGCCTGAAGCTCACTGGCAGACTCCCCTTCAGAGAGGTGCGCAGCCTGCTGAGACCCCTCCCACAGTCCCCACCCTCAGCCACCCTCCTGTGCTGTAGCTCAGGCTCAGCATGGATGGGGCACAGGGCAGGGCCCGTGGACAGCTATGGTGGGTTTGTCAGGACTGAAAATGAGTCTAGGATCTGCTCAGTGATTCCTGTGCCTGGGCTTTCTAGAGGAGGCAGCACCTCTAAGTCCACGAAGGTGCTGAATGGGCTAGCAGGGACACCGTGGGACTTGAGGTTCAGAATGGGCAGACCAGATGCAGGGCCCTGGGAGAGCAGGGGGTCTGGCAGGGAGGTGCAGCCTCACAGGCCCCCACCCTGCCTCAGGTCTACCTCCATGCCATCGTGAGAGATGCACATGGCCGGAAGATGAGCAAGTCTCTGGGCAATGTCATCGACCCCCTGGACGTCATCCATGGAGTCTCCTTGCAGGTTGGGCTGGGTGCTGGGCAAGGCCATGGAGCGCTTTGGAGCTGTAGCCACAGCCTCCTGACCCCTCACACCTTACCCTCAGGGCCTCCATGACCAGTTACTGAAGAGCAACCTGGATCCCAGTGAAGTGGAGAGGGCTAAAGAAGGGCAGGTATGAATCGAGGCCAGGGCTGGGAAGTGGGCAGAGGGAAGGCGGGCCTGGCTCAGGACTCGGCTCCAACTCCTCCTGCAGAAGGCTGACTTCCCGGCGGGGATTCCCGAGTGTGGCACCGATGCCCTCCGCTTTGGACTGTGCGCCTACACATCCCAGGGTAGGGCCCCCAAATCTCTCGGCCATATCCTTCTTCCTCCCATGAGGCCACCCCTCTCCTCTGCCCTCAGTGAGGGCTGGAAAGGGAGGTGCTGAGGACATACACTTCACCACACCCAGGTCGTGACATCAACCTGGACGTGAACCGAATACTGGGGTACCGCCACTTCTGCAACAAGCTCTGGAATGCCACCAAGTTTGCCCTTCGTGGCCTTGGCAAGGGTTTCGTGCCCTCAACCACCTCTGAGGTGAGAACCTGGTAGATGCGAGGTGACCAGCACCCACAGGCTGGTCCCCCGCCACTCTGGCATCAAGTGTGGCTCATGTGTCAGGGTTGCAGCCCCTGCCCCCATGCACCTCCATGTAGTGGCGGGGGGGCGGCGCAGAGGGTTACAGGGAAAGTCCATTAGGCTCCTGGAATGCAAATTTGCCCATGGTTCCTGCCTCTGTGGGGTTCTGGCTCCCTCCCCTGGGTACCTGTGCCCCCTGCATATGGTGGGCCTTGGCCGATGTACCCCTCTCCCCAAGCCTGTAGGCCATGAGAGCCTGGTGGACCGCTGGATCCGCAGTCGGCTGACTGAGGCTGTGAGGCTCAGCAACCAAGGTTTCCAGGCCTACGACTTCCCAGCTGTCACTACTGCCCAGTACAGCTTCTGGCTCTATGAGCTCTGTGATGTCTATCTGGTGAGAAGGGGCTGAGTAGGGCATGGGCAGCAGAGCCCTGGGCCTGCCTTTTCCAGTGGTTGGCCATGAGACCTGAGCCAGCATATCCCTCTCCCGGTTTCAAGCTCAGCGAGGGCTGGAGGTTAGATTCTTTCTAGCCCTGAACCCTGTGCCTCCCCTCCCCTAGGAGTGCCTAAAGCCTGTGCTGAATGGGGTGGACCAGGTGGCTGCCGAGTGTGCCCGCCAGACCCTCTATACCTGCTTGGACGTTGGCCTGAGACTACTGTCACCATTCATGCCCTTTGTGACAGAGGAGCTGTTCCAGAGGCTGCCCCGGCGAACACCACAGGCACCCCCTAGCCTCTGCGTTACCCCCTACCCGGAACCCACAGAGGTACAGGGTTTGGCCTGGACAGGGCTGCTGCGTGCCCCCCACGTTTTCTTACCCCTTCCTTCACCCCCACAGTGCTCCTGGAGGGACCTCGAGGCAGAAGCTGCCATGGAGCTGGCCCTGAGCATCACTCGAGCTGTACGCTCCCTCCGTGCCGACTACAACCTCATCCGGATCTGGCCCGACTGTGAGCCTCAGGGGCCCATATCTACCCTGTCCCACTGTCCCCATGCCCACTCTCTAGTATGGCTGCCTCACCTTCCTTCCTCTCCTGGCAGGTTTCCTGGAAGTGGCTGATGAGGCCACAGGTGCCCTGGCATCAGCAGTGTCGGGCTACGTGCAGGCGCTGGCCAGCACAGGTGTGGTGGCTGTCCTGGCACTGGGGGCTCCCGCACCCCAGGGTTGCGCTGTGGCCCTGGCCTCTGATCGCTGCTCCGTCCATCTGCAGCTGCAGGGGCTGGTAGACCCGGCCCGGGAGCTGGGCAAACTGCAGGCCAAGCGTGGTGAGGCGCAGCGGCAGGCCCAGCGTCTGCGAGAGCGCCGCGCCACTTTGGGCTACCCAGTCAAGGTGCCCGCCAAAGTCCAGGAGGCAGACAAAGCCAAGGTGTGTGGTGGGGGGTGGGGCGTTCTCTTTCCCATTCCCCACACCTCACACCCGGTCCTGTGGCTGCACTCTACTCAGCCCTGAGCAGTCCATGGGGAAGCTTGGAGCCCAGGCCCCTTGAGCAGGTGGGCAGGGGGCACAACAGGGTGAAGATGGACGCAAACCTAGAACCAGGTTTAGAACCAGGCACCCTGCTTCCCAGCCAGACCCCTCGTGGCCCACCCAACGTAGCTTCCCACATGCCTGGGGGTGGGCTCAGAGCACAGAGAGCCAGGGAGCCCTCCAGGCAGGAGTACTGGGTAGACTACACCAAGGCCGGCAAAGCAGTTGTGGGGTCCAGAGGCACCACTCGCTGGGTTCTGCTGGTAGCCTTCTCCGGGCAGGCAGGGTTACTCTGGCCATTTTACAAAGGAAGGCTAAATGCCTGTCTAGGAACCTGTGTTCCTAAACTCTGTTTTGCCCCTCGGTAGGGGTTGGGGCTGGGCCTTTGGGGGCAGGGTCCTTTGTTCTTGGGGACTGACCACTCTGGGAAAAGGCAAGACCCAAAAGTCCAGGGATGGTGAAGGAGAAGGGTGGTGCTGGTGAGGAGACTGATGAGAATTTAGGGGACTTTCAGCCAAGCATATGGTTGCCTAACTATTTCCTGTCTGTGACCCTCACCTGTCTTTCCAACTCTGACCCCTCTGCCTTCATGGGCATTTGGGCCTCTTCTCTTGGGCCTGAGTCATCACTACCCATCACCCCTTGTTCCACCCCCAGCTCCAACAGACAGAAGCAGAGCTTAGGAAGATGGACGAGGCCATCGCCCTATTTCAGAAGATGCTGTGATACACCAACTCCAACCCTTATAACCCTCAGTGGTCCACCAGGGGGGTGGCAGCAATAAATATTTTGCCACAAAACCATCTCTCGTCTTTATGTGTGGTAGGGCTAGGAAAGGGGTGCTGAGAGGCTGGGTTTCTGAATCCTCAAAGGCTGCAGGCTGGGCAAGGTGCCAGGTCCTGGTGGGCAGAGGTGTACCGGCCTGGGCTTGGCCCTGGCACTGAGCCAGGCCTGAGTCACTGCTGCCTGCTCCCTTCCTTCTGGCTGTCATTCACCTCCCAACTAGAGCCAAGGAAGCCCGGCCCTGGTACTGGCTGCTGCTGTGTCTTTGGGGCCAGCATGAGTACAGGGGTGTGGGGCGGGGGATGTTGCAGCCCTGCGGCACCCTGCTGGGCCTCCTTCCTCCTTCCTCCGTCCTCCTGCCCTTGAGTCCCACTTAGGTTATTTAGAACTCTGGTGCTCTGTGACACCATACCTGGCAGCCCTGCCTGGAGACCTAGCCACCATGAAGGAGAAACTTCTGTGCTAGGGTGGGGGTGGGTACTGGGGGAGCAGCCTGGGGCCCCTCCTGCAGGTGTAAGTCCCAAGTAGTCGGATAAGGCCCTCAGGTTGTCTGGGCGGATGGGGAGGGCAGGAAGCTAAGGTGCTTGAGATAAAGTAGAAGGGGCCCTAGCAGGTGCCCATGGACACAGAGCTGGGACTGCCCTGGAATTGCTCCTTCCTCCTCCCTTGAGCGCCTTCTGTCCCTCGGGTCCATGTCCCATTAGGCATCGCACCCGGGCCCTCAGTGCTGCTGCTGCTGCTGCTGCTGCTGCTGCAGTTGCTGCTCCCGCCCCCATCATCTGCCTTTCCCAATATCTGGAGCCTCCTGGCCGCCCCTGGCTCCACTCAGGACCTGACTGAGGAGACAGCTCTCAATGTCTCTCTGCAGCTCTTTCTGGAACAGCTGTCCCCAGGCTGGCCCCCACTTCATCTTGAGGATTTCCTAGTGAGTATCCCTGGGTCCCATCACATCTCAGCTGAATCCCTTGGGGGTCCTGGGACCAGTGCTCCTTGAGGGTCCTGCTTGCCAAAAGAAGACACCCTCTTTCCCCTCCCTGCCTCGCCTCTACCCCCTGTAGCAACAACACCCAAGAACCCTGGTCCTGAAATCAGGAATCCCTTCCCCTTGAAAAGGTCCAGAATTACCTCTCATAAGGTGAACCCCCTTCCCCATTCCTTCCACAACCAGACTTGAGTGCCAGTTGCTGAGGAAACGTGGGCAATGGCCCAATCCAAGAGGCTTCCCTGGAGACCCTATTCTTTCCCACTCCCCCAGGGCCACACCCTCCTCACCAATGATGTCTCCTGCTTCGGACCTGGGTCTTCTTCCTGGCCATTCCAAGCAGCCTCAAGTGAGGTGTGTCATGCCAGTGCAGCCCAGGACTTCCTGCCAACTTTCAGGAATGACCCTGACCTGCAGTTGGGCCAGGGGCACACGCCTGGTTGGGCTCCATAGGAGACCCTGGTGGTGGCTAGAGCTCTTGGCCACACCCAGCCTGCCAGTGCCTTGGGGCAGCCCTCCATGCCTTGCAGGTAAGAAAAAAGATGGGGTAATTCTAGAGTCAAGGTCAAGAGGGCACCAACTGGGAGACACTGTCTTGTCTTGTCTCCCAGTTGGTGCCTTCTTGACCTTGCCTCTAGAAGGGGCTGGAGCACTGCTTGCTAAGCCCCCAAGGCTACTCCATAGTCCCCACCTCCACAATGGCAGCACTTCCTGTGGGAACAGCCAGAAGCCAACTGCACTAGAGACCACTGAGGGCGACAGGCAGGCCCTGAGGTCAGAAGTGGGCCTAGGTGGCCACTGAAGAACCTTTGGTTGGGCTCTGAGTGAGATGGAAGGAAATGAGGTGAGACCCACCCCCATCAGTAAAGCTCTGGTCTGGGCAACAGGGCTGGGTGGAGCTGGTAGAGTAGTGGGGGGGCCTTGGGGTGTCTGACAGGAGTAGCAGGGGAGGGAGGAAGGTTTTCAGGTGGGGAATGAAAGAGTGGAGAGTTAGGGCTGGGGGCCATGAGAACAGAGAGTGCCATGTTCTCTTTCCCTCCTTTTCTTGGGACAGGGATTTCTGTAGTCACAGCAGCTGGGCGGAACTAGGGCAGCAGCAGCCACACCCTTACCTCCTCTGGCCACAGCAAGAGCTGGTGAGCCTGACACAAGGTGCAGCCACAAGGCCATGACCCCAGTGGTTAGGGAGGAGCCCTCAGAGCTGCCTCTTTTCGATCCACCCAGCCACCATGGCACATCCCGAGGCCACACTGGGTGTCCCATCACTTCATCTCTGGAATGACCTGTGAGGCTTCCCAGTTTAACCAAAGGCCAGGTCAGTTAGGAGGCTTCCCTAAGGTCACACAGGGAAGGACAGAGCTAGGACCAGGTCTGCAGACCTCATGGAGTTCCCTGTCTTTCACATGGCTTCCTCCCCACCACTGGATCCCGTGGGACTTTCTCTCACAGTCCCCTCAACCTCCACACTAAACAGCAACCGCAAGCTGCCTCCTGTCCGTGATAAGTGCACTTGCTGGTCACAGCTCACAGAGGGCACAGGCCCTGTAGGGCTAACTCCCACACTGCTAGCTTTTCTAGCACAGTCCCAGTCTCAGATATTCAGTCTTACCACCAGCCTCTGAACTCCAGGAAGCCTAGAAGTGTACCTATGAAACCTCCCTGTGGGCTTTCACCCTATTCTAGCTGGGAGGAAGAGCTGAAGAAGTTTGGGTGGATGGGGATAAGGGCTGGGCAGCAGAATCTTGGGTTCTAGTTGTCTGCCCTCTCTCCACAGTGGGAGATCTTACCTGCTCTGATTGGGAGGGGCTGAGCTGCCCCAGAAATTTGCTGGGTTTCACACTCACCTCTGGCTACTTTGGAACTCATCCCTACAAGTCTTCAGGTACGAGATAGGGAAGCCCTCAGAAGGAAGGGGAGACAGTCACCTCCTTTCCCCTGACCCAGTCCCCTGGGATCTCAGTCCTTTAGGTCCTTGCCCCACTTCCTGTAAGAAGGAGAGGACATTGGGAACTGGGTGGGTGGGTACAGGCCCACTGAGGTGGCTATGACTTGTTGGGGGAGGGATGGAAAGCAGCTTCTCACCTAATAAGACTTCTCCATTGCCCAAGGGCAGCTTTTGGGGACTGACTAGAGGGCTCACAGGATCCCCCACGTGCTGTGTGACTGACCCCTCCAGACTGGCCCTCCACAAAATGTCTTCACTTCCCGCTGATCCTTTGCGGAGCAGAGAGAGAGTTAGGCCAGGTCAGGAAGGGCCCCATTTTCTTAAGAGGCAGTGAGTTTCTTACTTCTACCCTCCAGGTGCCTTTCCCAGCCCAGGAAAATGTAGCCATGGGGGCCGTCTTGACCAGAGCAGTTCCCAGCTACCACAGAGAGGCATCAACAAGGACAGCACAGCCCTGGGCTTCTCCCCCTACCACATGCTCTACCTCCAGGCTGCAAAACTGGCCCTTCTGGCCTCCACCCAGGCTTTTAGCCTCCTGTGAAGATGCCTGCGACACAGGACTTTGTCCAGGTGAGTGGCCTCCTGGAGATGGGCTCTCTAGGTGCTCCTCAGGGAGCTGAGAAACCAGGAGCTGGGGACAAGTATGCAGACCCTTCACTGGGGCTCCCCCAGGCTGTTGGACATCATCCCAGCCTCCAGCCTCAGTTTTTCCCTGGACACCACGGGCAGTACAGGCAAGGAGATCAACACCGCCAAAATCCAGGCTCACTACATTGTGGAGCAGCAACAGGGCAGCCCCATGGAGCCTGCCCACTATGTCCTGGTGCCTTTCCATGATGCAGGTAACTGTGGTCTGGTCTGGCCGGGATAGCGGAGGAAAGACAAGTCCAAGGCAAGGGATTAATGCCACTGGTGGGTAGTGGGCCTGAGAGAGCCTTTCCCAGGCACCTGTGTGTATACAGGAAGCAATCGGGCACTTCTTCCACTGCTTCTGAAAAGGCACCGGTTCACATCTGAATTTCATCATGACCCATGCTTAGGTGGGTAGCCTCTGCTGTCTTCGGCTTCAGTGCTAATGAGTCATTTTCAATTCTCTGTACTTCTCATAGACAGAGGTTGGGGCGAAAATAGGGGTTTGGTGGGTCCAGGCCTCTGCAAAGTGTCTGAGACAAATACTTACATGGTATTCCTTTTCCTAATTGGAAGTCAGACAATCTAGCCTGGGTCAACCAGTCTTACTGTGTGTCCTTAGGTCGACCATATAACTTCTCTTTGCCTCAATTTTGTCATTCACAAAATGGGTCACTACTAGCTTTATCCTGTCTATCTCCCAGGGCTGAAATGATCATCAGACAAAATGCCTATAGGACTGAGAATTCCCTCAGGGCAGGGTTTGAGTCCAACTTGTCTGCATAAATCTCATAGTAGCTGGCATAGGATAGGGGCTTATCATATATTTGATGAAGGTATGAGTAAGTGAATAATGAAGAATTCAGCCACTTATGCCTTCTGGCTAGTATAGGTCAGTGGATTGAGCATGGGCCTGGGAACCAAAGGGTTGCAGGTTCAAATCCCAGTGAGAGCACATGCCTGGGTTGCAGGCCAGGTCCCCAGTGGGGGCCATGTGAGAGACAGCCACACACTGATATTTCTCTCCCTCTCTTTCTCCCTCCCTTCCCCTCTCTCTAAAAATAAATAAATAAAAATCGTAAAAAAAAAAAAAGAATTCAGTCACTTATGTGTCAAGGCACTCTTCTAAGATTTACAAAGCCGACTCTTTTAGTCTCCCCAATTCCCCTCTGAGGTAAGTACTATTATTTTTCTGTCTTTTCTGATAAGGAAACGGAGGCCCCAGTTGTTTTTATACACTTACACACATTCCCAAAAGGACCCAGGAACTGCTGCAATTCTGTTAAGGACATGAGGTCCACTTTCCCACCAGAAGTACCTAGCCTCTGCCCTGCCTGTATAAAGGGAATATAAGGGAATATCGCTATTTCAGTACTTGTGCAGCCCAAGAGTACAGCAAGCCTCTTGACTAGGGAAGAATGAGGGGAGCCCTCTCCTCATGCATCTCAGCCTCCTTTCCTCCTCCCCAGTGTTCCGCCCCTGTCTTTACAAACGTGACCCTGATAGGTTCTGGCAAAACTCAGTGAGATCCAAGCCTTGGGGGGTGGAGATGAGCCTGAGATGTGCCTGTCAGTCCTGGAGGTTTGCCCTCGCCCCGTCCCTTCTCCACCCCCCTTTCCAGGCGCTACCACTGCGGAGAGCTAGAGCCTTCCTGGGGCCCCACCCCTTTCACCTTCAGAGCCTGGTCCCACTAGCTTCACTCGAGGGCCACATTGCCTCCTCTGCCCCACCTCACTCAGCCCATTCCTGCTGCTGCTATTTTCACACCAGTCCTTTCCTTCCCTGCCAGCTGGCCCTGCTGCACACACCTCCACTCTCAGACATCTTTGTCTTCACTGGTGCCTCCCCCACAGATAACCTTTCTCACCAGCCGGGCGGAGTCCCTGACTCGGAGCAACACTGCAGAGTTAGTATAGCCTGTGGGAGACCTAGTGTTAGCCACTCAGGGATGCAGGAGGCCCTGTGACAACCATCTCATAACAAGGGCCCCACCACACTATGGTGGCTAAACAAGCCTTGGCATGGGTGGGAGAAGGGTACAGCAAGCTTAACATTTCCCGATCCTTTTCACAATACTAAAAGTGGGAGGCCCTACCCTTAGTGATGCTGAATTTGTATTTGAACCTGCCCCCAAGAAACCATTTGAAGAACTGGAGACCTAGTTGCCAATAAACCACTCTGTGGATGTCATATTGTAACAGTGACAAGGGAGTGGCAATGGCTAACTGAAGGCCAGGGGTTGTGTCATTGGAAGAGCCTGTGTAGCCAGAGGGTAGACGGAGACCCTACCACTCATGGCGAGCTCCGTGGAAAGCTGGAGCACAGGAGATCCTCACTTGTAATGGTAGATGGCACTTGGGCACCTCAAGTACTGACCCCCCTCCTGGGCACAGGTAATATTCCTGGTGACTGAAGACCCATTATGGGGTCAGGGCTGAGCTCGTTGTGAGGTCTTGTCCCCTCTGCGTTTTTGAGCCGTATGACGTGGTAGCCCTGGCCCCTGGAGGAGAGGTGATCTTCACCAAAGATCAGCACATTCGAGATGTGGCAGCTGTTTGGGGGAACAGCATGGCTGACCTGGTAAGTGTAGGGCACAGAGGGACCCTACACTGCTTTCAGCTCAGAACGAAGGGGATGAGTGACACTGCATTCCTTTCTCACAGAAGGAGGGGAGTGGCTCCCACTGCTGTATTGCCAGAAGTGTACGAGGGGGAGTACTGCCCCCCTCCCCCAACCTTGGGCTCTGATTTTCTGTCCTCAGGGCCACCACAGGAAGTCCTGCCGCCTTTTAAGGTGGGGGAACAAGAAGTGACTGACTCATCCTTAACCCCTCACCTCCAAATTTGTCATTGACTATAATTTCATCCCTGGTGTTATGCCCCTCTCTTACTGGTATCCCTTTTCCAGATGTGACAGTTTCTTTCTGTCGCCACCTTTCTCCTATCTGTTCCCACCTCATTGCATGCCCTGCCTTCTCCCCATATTCTGGTCTTGCCCATCGTTGCCCCCTGGCACCTCCAGCTGTGGTGCTTGGGAGACCACTGTGTTCAGTGTGGATGGACTGCTCCAGAGGGTCGCAGTCTGGATCCCTGGGGGAGGCCAGCAGCTTCTGAATCAGGAACCACGCAGGTACTTCCACGTGTGCCTCAAGGCAGAGGGAAGAACTGAGAATGGAGAACGTGGAGTAATGTACTAAGGGAAAGAAATTGTTTCATGTGACAATCTCTTGCTCCCCACTCCCACCCAGGGGTTTCCCAGGGCCAGGAGGAAGTCCAGGGGTGTCTAGGTCACACCTGCTGCTCTGGGAAGTTCTGGATGGTGACCATGAATGATCCCATAGACAAGGACCTGGGAGATCCAGGTCACAGCTGAGGGCACCCCCAGGTGAGTACAAGGTAAGGATGGAGATATTCCTGAGAAGGAGTGGGAAGTGGGGGGCGGTTGCAGAGCTCAGAGAGCCATGTCAGTCACATTCATCTGGGAAAGGTCTCTGACTGCCTTCACCTCCCTCACCTCAGCCCATCCTGGACTTCGGGATCCCGATGGAGAACGGCCCCCACCCAGACCTCTACCCCCCGACTCAGCCAGTTGCAGGCGCATCTATTCCCTCCTACCCCGATTTGTTCATTAGTTTTATATTTATAAAATTCTATATATATTTAACTTTCTATTGAGTTATAATTTACATATTTTATATAAATGTGCACTGAACTTAAGTGCGCAGCTGGATGGATTTCATACAATATACCCATGTAACCATCACTCAGTTCAAGATTTAGAAGACTTCCAGCCTCCCAGAACTCCCTTCTGACCCTTCTCATCAACAGTCCCCAGAGGTAACCCCTTTTCCCTATCCCTACTCCACAGAAGGATCCCCTATTCTGAAAGCCATTCATTCCATTCTTTTCTCTTTGTCTTGACGAGTCTCACGAAGAGCTCTGTTCTCCCGCCCCTCCCCTGCCCCGGGTCTCCAGACCTCGCAGCTGGTAGAAGTGACAGGGTTGGATTCCAGAGGTCACCCCAGTCTTCCTCTGCCTCACATCTCCCACGTCATCCTTCGATGGGTCCCTGGGGTGCTGAGCTGGGCCAAGTGCCTTTGGAGGCCAGGGAAGCCCATGAGCCAGGTCTTGTCACAGCCTCGCTTCCCCCCATGCTTCTGGCTACCCCCAAGTTCTTCTCTGGAGCTGACTGCCCAGGAGGAAGGAGGGGCGTCCTGCACCCACTTGCCCCTCAGCCCAGCAATGTGGTCCGAGCCCTTTGGGAGGTGAGGAGCTTGGGGAAGGTGGGCTGGGGCTAGAGAGACCTGGGGCGTCCCCTCCCCTGACCTGCCCACCTCCAGTTTCCTGGCTGGGGGCAGCAAGGCGCATCTCCCCAAACCCGCTTGTCAGCCCTTTGCATGGCCAGCTTCTCTGGCCCTCAGGATCTTGATACTGGAGCATCTGCCAACTTCAGCTTCTCTCTCACTTCCAGCCTCTCCACGTGAAGCTTCTGAACCCTCCTGCTTCTTTCTGTTCCCACACTTCCAACTGGCCCTCAGATTCTCCTCTCCCCTCCCCGCTGGGCTTTGCTCCTTGACTGTTCAGTGCCTGGGCTTCAGATGGCTATCTCTATGCACTCAACAGGGTTTCTCGGGAAATGAATAAATCCGCCTGGGGGTGTCTAGGCTGGAGATTTTCCTCCTCATGCACTTGTCCCTTCTCTTAACAAGATTGAGATAGAGGGTAATAGATTTTCCCACAATGCACTTTCCCTAACCCTAGGGAACCAAACCAAAGACTCATTGTTTGAGGAAGTTGCTTTCTATTGCTCTGTAGCATTTTTATTCCACTATTTGTTCTTGCTCTTCCAAGCTCAGGTAGAGGAGAAGATATATGGGGAAGAGACAAAGGTAGGGAGGGGGGTGAAAGGGTACCAGAAAGTGTTATTTATATAATTTTTTATTTGAAATTCTAGAGAAACTTTTATTCTGTTTTTGTATTTAAAATTGAAGGATAGTTTCAATAAACATGTCTTCTCCCCAGAGTGATTTCAAAGAAAGATAATGTATGGACATCCTACAGGAGGGTGAGAGGGTAAGATCCCAAGAAGATGAAATGGAAATTTTCAGGAGCAGAGAATAAACTTCAAACCCAGATGTTTACACTTCAGTTGACCCACAACCTGGAGCCATTTAGCTGTTGAGTCAAGAGGCAGAATAAGAAGGTTCTGACTCATCCTCTTCTGTCACCAGCTGAGGGGAATGAGAGGAGGCTTTAGACATGGTAGGGCCCCTCTACCCCTTGGGGAAGCCTGGCCGAGCCATCTCCCCTTTTGGCTGAATGACCTCTTTCTGCTGTGTTGACAACTCCTGGAGAAGAGAAGAGAAACAGTCTGGGCATCTGCGCTCTGCCCTCCCCCTCCTCCCCTCCAGTCTACCTGTTGTTGCCATAGGTTCTACTTCCTTGGCCTCCCTTCCAGTCCTGGGTGACACAGGAAAAAGCCTGTTCAAGGGACTCTGGGAAAACAGGGAGGGATATTCAATGTTCTCATTCAAACCAGTGTTAATCTCCAGTCTCCTCTCTACCCCAATTGGGTGTCCAACCTGTTGGCATCTCTAGGCCACACTGGAAGAAGAGTTGTCTTAGGCCACACATTAAATACACAAACACTGATGAAAACTGATGAGAAAAAAAATGGTTTTAAACAAATTTATGATTTTCTGTTGGGCCACATTCATAGCCATCCTGAGCTACATGTGGCCCACGGGCTGCAGGTTAGATACCCCCAAAACAGTAAATTCACCTTCCCCTGAATCAGATTCTGCAAACAGATGTTCACCTCTTAAACCTGAGCTAACTGGGGACCTCTAGGCTCTGAGCCTAAATCTGTTAGAAAATCTACCCTGGCTGGTGTAGCTCAGTGGATTGAGCACTGGCCTGCAAACCAAAGGGTCACTGGTTCAATTCCCAGTCAGGGCACATGCCTGGGTTGCAGGCCAGGTTCCCAGATGAGGGTGTGTGAGACGCAAAGGATCAATATATCTCTCACACATTAATGTTTCCCTCTCTTTCTCCCTCCCTTCCCCTCTCTCTAAAAGTAAGTAAATAAAAAATTTTAAAAGAAACTAACTAAATAAATAAATCTGTTAGAAAATCCTAAAAGAGGAGTTGGAGGCTGACAGTGTGAAAACCTGAGGTCCATCTGCCACTGTTTTCCATCACCACAGGCCATTCCTCTTTTCCATCTGGATCCCTTATCCCAATAACCCTCTAAGACAGGTGGGAAAACCCAATACTCTCCACTCCATCCCTTTAACAATTGAGTTCCTCCAGCCCCTCAAGTAGCACATTACCATCTCTTTCTTCATGGATATGTCCTGTCTATCCCTGACCCACTGGAGTAACCCAGGCCACTCCCTCATGTCATGAGGGATCCAAACACTTCCGTCTGAATGGAATGCAGACTAGTCTTCTCCAATCCCAACAATGAAAGCCAACCTAACATTTACTGGCACCCTGTTACTACAATGTTGCTTCTAATTCATGATCCCTGCCCATTAACTCTCCTTTTTAGGGTGGTGTCAGGCTGTGTCCACGTGTCCCTGCTCCCCATCCCACACACCTCGGGGCAACCCCCTACCTCACCAAGGACCCCCACACATAGCTGCTGTTGCTGTGCCTCCCTCAGCCAATCCTCAAACCAGGCCTGGCCATATTTCAGCAGCTCCAACCCCTGCCACAGGGCATCCTGTTATCTCTCCAGAGCCTGCATCCTCTGCAGCTAGAAAATATAAGAAACAGGTTGCACCACTCTATATTAGGGCTCTGGACCCTGCCCTTTCTTGAAACTCCTTTTTGGGTTCACTGTCTGGTCACTGAATGTGAGCCCAGACTGGGCAAGGGAAACCAGTGGGGAAGACTTATGAGTCCTCAAAATTGCATGGAAATGTAGGGGGCAGATCTAGGGAGAGGGGCTTCCCCTGGATCCTCTTGGACTAATACTCAGAGAAAGAAATTCTGGGTCTCTGAGTCTTGGCTTGTCCCCAGTGGTATGCAGGAGGCCTGCACCAGGAGCAACCCACCAGCACCCTGGCTTCCCATGGCTTTGAGGTGGGAAGAGTGGGGCCACACCCACTGGCACCCAAGGCCTGCCCCTCCCCACTGCACACCTCGCTGAGTTGCACTGGTCTACTAGCCTTTCAGCCTCTCAGAGGCCCTCCTGCCATGTCTGCCGTGGCTGAGGTCTGAGCCTGAGGTGTTCCATCTCCTTGGATTCCTCTGTCTTCCCTCTTATGTTTTTGTAGCGTCTCCTGAAGTTAGGGTTTTGTTTTTTTTTTAAGATTTTATTTATTTATTTTTAGAGAGAGGGTAAGGGAGAGAAACATCAATGTGTGGTTGCCTCTTGCATGCCCCCTACTGGGGACCTGGCCTACAACCCAGGCATGCTCCCTGCCTGAGGATTGAACCAGTAACCTTTCAGTTTGCACATCAGTGCTCAATCCACTAAGCCAAAGCAGTCAGGGTGTCACTATATTTTTAATGAGGCAGGTCAGGTCCTTCTGTAGACTCCTGCTTGGTGTTTCACCTCTTTTCTATTCTCTTGCTTTGTTTTGTCTGCAATAAGAAAACAATAACTTTCTCCAAAAAAAATCTTTATTCCTAATATGAAACAAAATTTCCAGAGAAACAGAACTCTGGGTTTGAAAATGATAATGAAATGAAGAGGGCATGGCAGCCCACAGGGGCTTGGGAAGTGGAGGGGGCAGAGGAAGGACTCTCAGAGGATGGTGGTGGCCGCAGGCAGCACTTCCTGGCTCATGAAAATCTCCAGGTCCAGGTTAGGATCTTCCAAATCCAGTTTCAGAAACTTATCTACTAATGTCTGGCAACTGAGGGGAGAGAGAACAGTGAGACACATGAGATAACTGACTCCTGAGCAGAGGGGAGAAGTTGTGGCACAGGAAACTGAGACCTTGAGAATTATGGGATTTCAGAAACAGTGGGTCATTGAAAGGCAAAGAGGCTTTCTGAGTCCCTGCAAGGGGGGAAGAGCTGCACAAGATGCCAGAGAGAACAAGGAACCTGGGTCATACACTCACTTTTCCATTTGCCTCTCCTTTAGCAACTCCTTGATAGGCTTAATGGGTTTTCCACTGCGGATCAAGTCTGAGACCTAGGCACAAGAAGGGCGGGGAAAGGGTAGGGGGAGTTGGGTAAGAAAAGAGGAAGTAAGTGTCAGAAACCCAGGCCCCTGAGAGGAGCAGGGCAGTGGAAGCAAGCCCTGACAGACATGCTTCATATCAGGATCTCATCACCTCCTTGCCACGAGAAATGAGCTTGTCAGGAAGCCTGGCCTGGGCAGCTGTGTGGGAGGCATGGCTGGCATTGGCAACACCTTCGCAAACCCGATAAAAGAAGACAAGATCATTCCCATCCTCACAGGTCTCCATGGTCTTAAAAAAGAATAAAAGGGGACAGTGTGTCATTATCATTCAGCTTCCTGCCCTGAAACCCATGGCCAATCCCTGTGGGGAGTGAGGAAAGGGAAGAGACATGGTCCCTGTGTTCAGGAGTCTGTTCTGATGGAAGAACCAGTCTCCAGCTCTGGGAAACACTCGGCTTAGGGGACCCTCGGGGGCTAGATTAGTGTCCTCACCAAATACTGCACAAGGGGCCCCTGTGGCAGCAGCTGTAGCTGAATGAGGCTCAGAAAGTTGGTGGCCACAAAGATGTGGGGACACATGGGACCAAGTGACAGCCAATGTCGGAGCACAGCAGCCAGAAGTGCAAGCCCATCTACCTGCAGAGAGGACAGGGGTGAGGGTGCAGAACCATGGGTGCTCCATGGGCAACCCTTCCACCTGCTCCAGCCTTTTCCATCTTATACTTTTCGGTTTCTTCTCCACCCATATCCCTATTTTCCTGAGGCCCACCCTCCCCCTCATGATCCTTTGTCCTCCTCCATTATCCCCTCCTCAGTTCCTCATCAGTTTCTCCCCTCACCGTGTTCGTTCCCTTGCCAAATTCATCCATAAGGACAAGGGACTGCTCCGTGGCATTGTTCACTGCTTTTGCCACCTGCTGGGTACCAGGTGGACAAAGGAGAGTTTCATTAGCATTTGAAGCCTGTAACACACTGACCACAGTCTGCCTGTGAATAAAGCTGCTTGTATTATGTGTCCACCCTACTGGACTGCAAACTCTTTAATGGTGAGGCACATGTTTTGTTTGCCCTTTCGTTGCCAACAGTGCCTCACACAAAGCAAGCATTCACAAGAGGTTCTCCAGTATAGAGGGCAGGCAGCAGAGGGAATGCTTTTCCTATTCTGATCATTTTTCATGGGTAAAGTTCCTTCACCATGACCCCCTCCCTCAATCCGCCCCTCTTTTTGCTCCGTTTGACCTGGTTGAGGTCGATCATGAAAGTGGAAAGGCCCAGGGAGATGGACTCGCAGCTATGAATTCGGGTGAAGATGGCGTCTACTGCCCCGATCTCAGCTTCCTCTGCTGGTACAAAGCTGCCCACCAGGGCCATGAATGTGATCAGGCCTACCTGAGCAGAGACAGAGACAGAGCCTGAGGCCTGGTGGAACGGGCTGAGGTGAAAGTGAGGCTAAACTGAGAGGTAAATAATAGATTAAAGAGGCATGGACACAGTTTAATAGAAGATCACATGCCCTTCTACTCACTTTAGGATCAGTAGAGAGGGACAGGAAGTCAGCAGGGGCACAGTGGGGAATGGCATGGACCTATGCAGAGGGAAGGGAAGGGAACTGATGCCATGGGAAGATCTATTAGGTCATGGCTCTCCCTCAAGTGGAGAATGGAACATGTGAGGCAGAGAAGCACGGTGTGGATTACAGTGTCTTCATGACAGGAAGGGTTGGAACCCAAAAGAGCTGCAGGAACCTGGGTTGGCTGGCGGGTAGGGGATGAGATGATGGAGAAGATGCCAGAGGCCCAGTGTGCAGGATTCTCCTACCTGTTTGAGGTATATGCTCTTCCCTGAGGAGTTGGGTCCAGTGATGACTTTGACCCTCCCTTTGTCCCCACCGCATTCTGCAGAGTTGGGTACAAAGGTTCGGGTACAGAGTTCCATCAGAGGATGTCTGCAGTGAGTGGAGAGGTATTTCACACATGGGCCAGATGGATCAAGCCCCAGAATATGGGGCCTGAAGGCCCCTCGTGTCCGTGCCTTCACTCCCTCTGTTCTCACCTGCCATTCTGGATTCGCACTCCAAGGAGTTGGGGGGAGAAGCGGGGCCTTGAGTAGCCATAGTCCCGGGCAGCACTGGCAAGAGCCAGCAGGACGTCCAGGCGGGAGGCAAGGTCCAACACCCGGGTCAAGACAGCTGCCCGTGCCAGCACCTGACACTGCAACTGGTACATCAGCAGGGTCTCCCGATCTGAGGGTAGGTGAGGGAAAAGTGGGGGTCAGCTCCAGGGGAATGTGAACGAAAGACAGAGACCAGCAAAGTGAGCTGGAAACAGGCTTACACATACAATCTGAGACACCTAGAGACAGAGAAGATGTAGAGTCAGAGTGAAAAGAGCGAGAGCAGGAGGAAAGAGAGCCTGTTAGAATCTCCAAGCTGCCCACTCCCTTCCAGCCTTTCACCTTTCCTCACCCCGGATATCACAGTGAAGGTCCCCCAGCAATGCATCCAGCTCCTTGGTTCGAGCACTGCGATAGTGCAGCTTCTCCTCTGAGAGAAACTGGATAAGAGTTCGAGCTGTGGGCTTTGCATCTCTTGGTTCTCATCCTCTCCCACCTTTCTAACTCCACCTCCAGGCCTCCACCTGACTTCCCTCTCCTTCTTCTCAGAGCTAATACAGATCAAAGTAAAACTACAGAAGAGAGATCCCATATTGGGCAGTACTGATGGAGTAACCCCCCTGTCAGATTCTGATTCATTTTCCTTATTGACTCCCTACAGAGGTTGAGGGTCTTACCATGAACTCCAGTCCCTCTATCTCAAAGTCACTGGCCTCCACCATGGAAGGCAGGCGGGGAATAGAAAGAAGGAAGCCTATCTGGAGAGAGGAAAGAGGAGATAAAGCAGAACATGACGTATGGGGCACTTTCTCCTTAGAAGCCAGAGTCCCTTTTATCCCCAGTGCTTCCCTCAGGGAGCTAAAGCCACCACAAGGTGTTCATATTTTTCAGGCTTCTGTAGAAGTTTTCTTATCTACCAATGTGTCCTTCCTAAGCCTAATATCCTCCCTAAAGACCCCTGGAGATCACACCTAGCCTCCTGCCCTCACCAGAGGGATATAGATGACACTGCATGAAGGAATGCGGGAGTCCAGACTCTCCAGCTCTTTCCAAGCGACCTCAGTGAGGAAACTGGGAAGTCCCACCAGCTTTTGTTTTTCTAGAAGAGTAGAAGACATGTGGACATCAAAAGTAAGGTTCATGCCCTGGTTGCCATGATCAGCCCCAGTTGTAGTGGCTGTCTACCAAGGATGGTACCCCATCACTGGGCAGGCAGGTGTTTCAGGGCTCATAGGCCCATCTCCACATCTAACACTCACTCTCGTCAATTTCAGGATCTATGCTGGGAAGGACTGTGAAGTGATTTGCAGCAAAACTGCCTTCAAAGTCCACCTGAGGAGGCAAGAAGTCCAGTTGCTTTTTCATCCAGCACCATCTCAGTTCTGTTCCTGTTCCTCACTTCTAATGGGCCCCAATTCTCCCTGCAGTCCCTGGTTTAACCCTAACCCTCCAAGCAAATCCTGATGTTCTGCCACCTCCTTTCATCATTCCATTCTTTAGTCATTCAACTGACCTCAGTGTCTCCCAGGTTTCCCCATTTTCCACGCTACATCTCTGGCCTCTGGTTCCTCAGGAGCTTGGCCGTATTCCTTCCACTCACCACTTTGCCAATGAGGCTGATGATATGGTGCAAGTCATCAGAGAACTCTTGGGCAATGTCCCGAAAGAGCGGGATGGACTGGGGCAGGGAGCGACAGGCATCCCTCAGGCCCAGGGCACTGTACACAGTCTGTAGGAAAAGTGAACAGAAGAGGGTGGCCCACACCAGCCCTGGCTGAGGCTAGGGAACAGGGATTGACTGACAACAAAGGCCAACAAGGAAAAACACAATAACAAAGGAGAGAAAATTTCAAAGGAAAAAAGGAATAGGGAGGAAATGTGCTCGGCACTGCACTAAATACTGAGGTTACAAAGACAAGCAAGATATGGTCTCTATCCATATGAGCTTACAGCCTAGGGAGGAAGACAAATTTTAATATTTTAATTTTTAAAATTGATTTTGAAGAGAGAGAGACACAGAGAGACATCAATTTGTTGTTCCACTTATTTATGCATTTATTGGTTGGTTCTTGTATGTACCCTGACTGGGGATCAAACTCACAACCTTGGTATATGGGGATGATGTTCTAACCAACTGAGCTACCTGGCCTGGGCAGAAGACAAATTTTTAAAAAGAAAAATTATGGCCCTAGCTGGTGTGGCTCCACAGGTTGAGCGCCAGACTGCCAACCAAAAGGTCACTGGTTTGATTCCTGGTCAAGGCACATGCCTAGGTTGCAGGCGAGGACCCCAGTGAGGGCGTGTGAGAGGTTTCCCTCCCTTCACCTCTCTCTAAAAATAATAAACAAACAAACAAACAAACAAAATCTTTTAAAAAAGAAAAAGAAGAGATTATCTATAGATGGAAAGAAGGGACCAAGATAGAAGCTAGGATTAATTGACTACACCTTGTTTGGGAGATTTGACTTTGGAATGGTGTAAATATTTTACATAATTATATAATTAAATTAAACTTTAAAAAGAAATTCCTAAAAATTAAAACCATAATGAAACAAATGATCATAAATGTATATCCATGTAGTGGCATAACCACAGAGAGAGAAACTATTCCAAGTCAGTAAAACAGTCATCTATCTATCCCTAGTGGGGACAAAAAGAACTGTTTCCCCTAAAAAAATCTTAGTGGTTTTCAATAATCATATAGTTGGTAGTAGTGCTGGTATTGGTATAAGATTGTTGTTGATGTAATGCAGGGAAAAGCAAATGAATGGTATTCTAATTTTATCATTCCTAGTGTTAATGAGAACCAGAATTTCTAGTATGGGAGAAAATATTAAAGAGGATATACATGGTAAGAACCCTGTTGTTCCAAATTTAAAATGGTGGTACTAGTACTAATTTATTATGCATTTTATTTTATCTTTTTAAAGTTCATAGATCTGTACACAGAAAAGGCCTAAAAGCAATGAGCAAAACACGATGAGCACCCTCTAGCATTCAGACTGTGGTACAGAAATAACATTTCTCACTAAAAGGAACCAGGGCTCCTTGGAGAAATGTCTGCTTCCAGGTCCGAACCAGGAGATGTGAATTATATATCTGGTATATCTTGTCAAGCCAGACAGCAGGAAGCTTATCAAAGTCTACCAGGGTTGTGGTTAAAGGACTCAAAAGCTAACCTCAACAGACTCCCATTGGAACAAGATGGAATAATTTGAACATGTATAAAGAATAAAAAGACTGCTATGACTGGTGTGCCTCAGTGTGTTGGGTGTTGTCCTCCAGATCAAAATGTCAACGGTTTGAGTCCCGGTCAGAGCACATGCCTGGGTTGCAGGCCAGATCTCTGGGTGGGGGCCTGCGAGAGGCAACCAATCGATATTTCTCTTTACACATTTGTGTTTCTGTCCCTCTTTCTCCCTTCCTCTCCCTCTCTCTAAAAATAAATAGACAAACTCCTTAAAAAAAATTTAAAAGATTGAAGAGCATGTGTAAATCTAGGAGTTCATAATGACACTAAAACAGCAACAAAAAACTCATTGGCTACCTGGGAGGATGTTATAGAACTAATTTACTAAGATGATAGCTGATAAACAAAGGTGGAGAAAAAAAATCAAGCAATTTTCTGTAATATGAACTGTATCACTGGGTAATCAAAGAGCAGACGAGAAGATATTTTTCTCTATAGAAATAATCTGGCTAACAAATAAACAAAGAGTGACAGAAGTAAAATAACCACTTTGTGTCCTGACCAGTAGGACTCAGTTGGTTGGGCATCTTGCCACAAAGCGAAAGGTCGCCAGTTCGATTCCCAGTCAGGGCATATGCCTGAAGGCCAGGTATCAGGGTCCCCAGTAGGGGGCACTCAAGAGGCAACCACACATTGATGTTTCCCTCTCTATCTCCTTCCCTTCCCCTCTCTCTAAAAATAAATAAAATCTTTAAAAAAAATATATATATATATATATATATATATAAAGAGTGGGAGAAAGGAGAGAGACAGAAACACAGACAGAGAGAGCAGAAGGAACACATAAAAGAGACTTAAAAGATCCCTGGCTCAGTGGTTTGGTTGGTTAGAATATTGTCCTGATACACCAAGGTTGTGGGGTCAATCCCTGGTCAGGGCATATATAAGAATCAACCAATCATAAATAAATGGAACAACAAATCAGCATTTCTCTCTCTCTAAAATCAATAACTTAAACACACACACACACACACACACACACACACACAAACTCCTGACCAGATGGCTCTGTTGGTTGAAGCATTATCTCATACACCAAAATGTGGGTTCAATTGCTGGTCAAGGCACATACCTAGGTTGTGGGTTTGATCCCTAGTCAGGGCATTTACAGGAGGTAACCAATCAGTGTTTCTCTCACATCAATGTTTCTCTGTTTCTCTCTCTAAAATATCGATAAACACATCCTCAGGTGAGAATGTTTTAAAAATCATGATGTTTAAGAGTCTAGAAATTTAAACATTAGATAGTTGATGATGTTATATAATTGTGTTAATTTTTAGGTAACGTAATGGTAGTCATTCTTTTTTAAACATAACTTTCTTTTAGCCCTGGCTGGTGTGGCTCAGTGGATTGACTGCTGGCCTGTGAACCAAAGGGTCACCAGTCCAATTCCCAGTCAGGGCACATGCCTGGGTTGTGTGCTAGGTCCCCAGTTGGGGGTGCACGAGAGGCAACTGATTGATGCATCTCTCTTGCACCTCAATGTTTCCCTATCTCCCTCCCTTCCCATCTCTCTAAAAATAAATAAAATCTTTAAAAAGAATAACTTTCTGTTAGAAATCATACTGAAATATTTATGGATGAAATGATATGATGACTGGGAATTGTTTAAAAATAATCTAGATAGTGGAAAATGGGAGATGATATATATGGAATAAGATTGGCATGAGTCAAAGTGTTGAAGCTGCAAGGTGGATACATGAGGGTTTGTTTTACTATTTTTGGACAACTTCTACAATATGAGCTTTAAAAAAGTGTTAGGATAAAGTTGGACATGGTAACCACAGTACAGAAGGTCTAGAACACATGCTGAGAGGCTTAACCTGAACTTTTAGAATGCAAGAGGGTAGGTCCTACCTTGTAGAGAACCTGCCAGTCGCTGACCTTGGTGTGGGACAACTTCATGCGTTTCAGAATCAGCTACAGTCAGGCAAAGACAATCAGAGAAAGAAGCAGCCATTGTTTTCCCTTGCTCACCCTAATGCCCCTCCAGAAGCCCAATATCCCATATTGGCCCTCAACCTCCTTCCTCATCTCCCTGCACCCCGACCCTGGGCTCACAGGCACATTCTTGATGTGACCCAGCAACCGATGCAGCATCTGAGCCATGTCCAGATTCTGGGGTAGCAGGAAAAACTGAATGACATCCAAACGAGAATTTAGTTCCTCTAAGTCATGAGTTGGACGTGTGAACCACAGCCTGGAAGTGAGGGTTGGGGTGAGGAGACCAGAAATTACATCTGTTCTCATCATCTCAATTTGTGAAAATGTGTGTTTGCAGGTCCCTGGCAATTGGGGCAATATGTACCTATACTGGCAAGTACAGTGTCCTACCTGTGCAGGGGTGTTTACAATATACCTACTGACATTCTCTGCATGTGAGCACAACTATGTCTGTGTATCAGTTTTTTGTTTTGAAAAATTTTATTTATTTTGAGAGAGAGGAAAAAGAAAGGAGAAAGAAAGGGAGAGAAATAGCAATGTGTGGTTGCCTCCCATGTGCCACCCACGGGGCACCTGGCCTACAACCCAGGCATGCGCCCTGACTAAGAATTGAACCAGTGACCCCTTGGTTCACAGGCCAGCAGTCAATCCACTGAGCCATGCCAGCCAGGGCTGTGTATCACAGTTTTGATGGATATGACCATGTGTGTCATTGCATGTGGGTATGTGATAGAACTCATCAATATTTTAGATGGAGAGCAATGTGCCAAGGCATTTGTATGACAACACTCTAGCTCTCTTGGTGACTAAGTAGGAGAGGGTGAGTCAGAGGCAGTTTGTATCTATGTATTTAGCTGTGAAAATGTCTCTGGTGTAGTAGCAGACATTCATCTTTTCATGTTCTTCCTCATGTGAAAGTATATAATTATACCATGTGTAATTATTTAAGTTCTCAATGCATGATGATGGTCATCTCTGCAGAGAAGAAAGGACTGGGGAGGGACACTTGAAGTGCTTCAATAATACTGTCTACTCTTTATTTTTTTCAAGATTTTATTTTAGAGAGAGGAGAAGGGAAGGAGAAAGAGAGGGAGAGAAACATTGATCAGTTGCCTTTCACATGAGCCCCAAATGAGGACCCAGCCTGCAACTCAGGCATGTGCCCTGACTGGGAATCAAACCAGCGATCCATTGGCTCACAGGCAGACACTCAATCCACACAAGCCAGGGCCAGGGTCAAAGGTGGGTTTTAGGGCACCTCTGCTCCTTGGCCACAAAAGGCTTTTCCAACCCAGGGAGCAATGTAGGCCAGGCTGGGAAGGTCTGTCTCCACTTTGGAGAGTACATGAGCCTCATCAAGCTAACTTTCATGTAAAACATCTAGGTTTTTACTGCTAGTGCCAGGATTTTAGTTAAGCCAAACTTCCTTATTTTAGAGCTGAGGAAATGAGACCCCTGTGGCAAAAATGACTTGTGCACTCATACTGCTAATCAGAAGTAGAGCTGGGTCTCAAACTCGGGTCTGCAGACTACTAGGACAGTGTTCTTTAAAACATACTGTGGCCCTGGCTGGTGTGGCTCTGTGGATTGAGCACCGGCCTGTGAACCAAAGGGTTGTTGATTTGATTCCCAGTCAGGGCACATGCCTGGGTTGTGGGCCCAGTAGGGGACATGTGAAAGGCAACCACACATTAATGTGTCTCTCCCTCTCTTTCTCCCTCCCTTCCCCTTTCTCTGAAAATAAATAAATCTTAAAAAAAAAAAAAGCATACTGTGACATTCAACCAAATTCCTGGTATCCTGTCCAGCTTTAGTCCAGCTGGGTTCTTAGTTCATCATTCAGATTATGATTGCATGTCCTGGGGAATCCTATCAAGAATCTGCACTCCCCCCCACCCCCTTTAATTCAGTTCTCTTCCCCATTGAGATCCTTCCCTGTCATCCCTGGTTGAGATTAAGAGAGCTGTACCTGAAGCACTGGAGAATGTGACGGTAATTAAAATCACCTACCAGTTACCTGGAAATGAACCTACAAATTACCCTAAACTAACCTCCAAAAGACACATCTCAGGGCAGGTGAAATGGGGAAAATGTTGTGCATCTATTGGCTAGCAAAGGTATCTGCTGAATTCTTTTTTGCGGGGGTGGGGGGTGGCAGGGGGACTGCTGAGTTCTTAGAGATGATGCTACCAGTGTTCTTGCATTTCCGTATCGTGCTCACTCACTGAGTACTACTGTGAACAAGGTGATGCAGGCACTGAGATAACAGGAATGGCCACTGTATGAGGGCAAGCAAATTCACTGATGACTAATTCCCATTGATGTGACAGTGCAACAAGAAAATATAAATAAGCACTACTTGAGCACACAGGAAAGTGAATGTCAGTTTCCTTATAGGGGCCTATGACAGCTTCACAAAAAAAGATGATAGATGGCACCTTGAAGTAAGATTTTGACAAAGTGGAGAATAGGGAACTTCTTAGAGAGACAGAATACAGGCATGATGTAGTCCCATGATGGCAAGTGGCCCCAAATGACTGGAATGTAGGATGGATTCAGTGAGAAAGGATTTAGGCCCTGGCTGGTATGGCTTAGTGGGCTGGAGCATCATACCATACACTAAAAGGTCGCAGGTTAAATTCCTGGTCAGTGCACATACCCAGGTTATGGATTCAATCCCTATTTGGGGCGTATATCCCAGTCAGGGTATGTATAAGAAGGCAACCAATTGATGTTTTGTTTTGTTTTGTTTTGTTTTTAGAGAGAGAGGAAGGGGGAGAGAGGGAAAGAGAGAAACACTGATGTGAGAGAGAAACATCAATCAGTTGCCTCCTGTACACATCCCAACTGAGGACTGAACCTACAACCTAGGTATGTGCTCTGATCGGGAATTGAACCTGCAACTCTTTGGTGCATAGGAAGATGCTCCAACCAACTGAGCCACACAGCCAAAGCAAGATGCTAATCTTCATCCTACAGGTAATAAGGAAGCCTCTTGAGGTTTATGTTATTTTATTTCTACCTAAAGTTTTAAAAAATGTGGAATGACATGCTCAGATCTCTGTTTTGGATTAACAGGTATTTTAGAACAAAAGATTAGAAAAAAGAAGAGAGTAGAAGCAGAGAGACTAATGTGGAGTCATATGTAATGCTTCAAATTAGAAATGATGAGCCCTGGCTGGTGTGGCTCAGTTGGTTGGAACATCATACCATGGATTGAAAGGTGGTGGGTTCAATTACTGGTAAGGGCACATACCCAGGTTGTGAGTCAATCCCTGGTTGAGGTGCATATCCCAGGTGGGGCGTGTATAAGAAGGCAACCAATCAATGTTTCTCTCTCCCTCCTTCTTTCTCTAAAAAAACTAATGCCCTCAGGTAAGGATTAAAAAATAAATAAGTAAATAGAAATGATGATAGCCAGAATTAGAGCAGTGAAAAGGAAAGGTCAAAGGGATGGCTGAGAGAGACACTAGAGGACAGAATAGGCTCTAGTGAATGAGTGAATATGGGGGGTGGGGTGAGAGAGAAGCATCAATCCAAGGTTCAGAGCTTGAGAAGCTGTATTGCCAGCAATGCCATTAACCATAAAGGGGAATACAGGAAGAGGAACAGGTCCAGTGGGTGTCAGTTTGGATGCTCTGAGTTTGTGCTACCTGTAGAAATTGCAGGTAGCAACAATGTGTAATTAGCATTCTACATATGGAGCGCTGAACTAGACCCACAAATTGAGAGTTACCAGAATAGCTCAAATTTGCAGTGTGGTTTTGGTAATTAAACATGTTACCATGTGTACGTTAGGGTTTTGTGATTGTGTTTCTGCTGCTTGTATGTGTGCAAGTCTGCATACCATTGAGTATATGTTTATCTTTGCTGACAACACAAAATAAGCATAATACCAGTTATCACATGGGTTGTTAAAGGATTAAATGCATTTAGCCAGCTTTCCCGAAAGGGCAGCTATTTTTGTACTACTACATGACATGGTATGTATGTCTGTAGACAGCATGAATTAGCCTATAGTACACGTATGAGACCCACTCACCTGAGCAGCTTCTCTCCCCATTTACAGCGGCATCTATTCAGGATTCCTGTCGGGGGAGTAGGGTCAGAGAAAGGAATGTGTGGCTGAGGCATCTGGATCAGAGGTTCCAGTGTTGGGCAGGCTAATCTGAGGGGCATTCCCCAGACACAGGATACAAAGGCAGTCAAAATCAGCACCTGGCCACAAGCCTGAGTCAGGATTACCTTACATGGGCTTAGGGGAGGGAACGGGTACTCACTGGAACACTCAGCCAGAAAAATATGCAGAGCAGACATAGTCAGACTCACAAAAAGCCCAATACATATATGTAAACATTAGACACTACCCACTGATATATGCATAGTGAAACTAGGCGGACACTCTGGGCAATATGTGTAGTACACCCTAAAGCTAGAGACAACTGATAAAGACTCTATGCAAATAAAAAATGGGCATTTTCGCAGTTACCAACTCTCCTCTGAGTATAGGGCCTCCCAAAGTCCCTATGTAGGTGCATAACTAGTAGGAGCATTCACATTCATGCAAACCCAAGGAATGAACATGGAATTGGTAAAGTATATGCCAATGACATTAGACAACTACAGGGTAAGGGGAAATGCCCCAGTTCAGGGAGGGTAAAAGAGGATAAGAAAGCTGGTGGGGGCCCTGGCTGGTGTGGCTCAGTGGATTGAGTGCTAGTCTACAAACCAAAGGGTCACAGGTTCGAATCTCAGTCAGGACACATGCCTGGGTTGCAGACCAGGTGCCCAGTGAGGAGCATGTGAGAGGCAACAACACATGGATGTTTCTCTCCCTCTTTCTCCCTCCCTTCCCCTCTCTCTAAAAATAAATAAATCTTTAAAAAAATAAAATAATAAAAATAAATAAATAAAATTTTTTAAAGATTTTATTTATTTATTTTTAGAGAGGGAAGGGAGGGAGAAAGAGAGAGAGAGAGAAACATCAATGTGCGGTTGCTGGGGGCTGTGGCCTGCAACCCAGGCATGTACCCTGACTGGGAATCAAACCTGCGACACTTTGGTTCGCAGCCCATACTCTATCCACTGAGCTACGCCAGCCAGGGCCCAAATAAAATATTTTTTTAAAAATTTGAGAGTGCAAGAGACATCTCGCAATGGCAGTGAAGTGGGAAGAGAGGAGCTTGGACACATCTTTGGAGACAGCTGCATTTCTGGAAAGCTTCTGTAGTGCGGGATGAGGGGTGGGGTATACATACCAAAGAGACTGAGCCCCTCCTTCAATCCACTGGCCACTTTGTACACTGAAGGGTGAGACTCACTCTTAAATATCTGCAAAACACTGTCAGGGAAAAATAGGAGAGTTCTAGGTAACTTGGATTTTTAAAGGGAATTAAGAAAATGGAAGGTGTTAGGAATATTTCTCCTGAGATTGAGTCTTGATATAAGGTTGTCCCCTTACTTCTCTCTGCCTCAGTTTCTCCCTTCAGAAAAGAAGGGTAACACCTTTATGATTTTCTTCTTTCTCCCTCACCCCCACTTCTTTTTTCTTCAGGGAGAGAGATCTTAATAGCTTTAGGATTAAAGAAATTGGAGCCTCATTAGGATTTTAGAGCATTATGCTGAAACCTTCCCCCTTCCCAGAGATGACAGCCTGCCTCCATTTCCTTACCTGTAAGTATCTCGATCTATGCTCACTAGATGGGTCCTGAGGGCAGAAAATAAGCAGAAGGGAAGGTGCTGGGGTATGAGAGGTCAGAGTTAATTTCTAAGTTTCATCCCTTTTGCCTCACCCCCAAAACACTGTCTCCCCAGAGCGCCACATCCCCTTAGGTGCTCCCGTGTGTCCTAGAGCACTTTACCTGATAGGTCACTGCCCACACTCACCCTTACCCTCCATCCAACACTGTGTTCTATTCTGGCCTCCCACCTTACTTTGGCTGAGATTATGGTAAATCACCTACAACACAAATTTCTTAAAGCCCAGGATGGGGATGCTGACGTTATAATCTTCCAGTTCAACCCCGATTCTTCTTCGACCCAGGAACTTGAGCAGCCCTCCAAGTGCTCGAACCTGGGAGGGGATCAGTAGTGGAGCAGGGGTAAATCCCAATGTCCCAGAGGCTGGACAATAGCAGGGAAAACTAGTGTTTTTCCAGAGCTAGGCTAGGACCTCCCAATACTCAACCCAAGGACTGGGGTGCTTTTGCCTTCCTCCATCCTATGACATCACAGCCCTGACTTCCCAGAACCCATCTCACCGTGAGAAGACAGTCAAAGGGAATGATGGAGGAGAGGAAGATAATTTTCTCAGTGGTGGTCATGGAGTCTGGGATGAAAGCGTAGTTTCCAGAAAGGAGGCGCTGTTTGCTTATCTCCAAACCTATTTTGGATAAGGCATGGGAGGGAAAGGTTTTGTAGCCTAAACCTTTATTCCATTTTGAGACTGTAACAACAGAAGCAAGAGAGATGATGTGACATGCCAAGCTCACACAGGCAGTTAATGGAAAACTGAAACAAGAGCCAAATTTTCAGACTCTTAGTCTAACTCTCTTTATCCTACATATGATATAAAGATGTTTGGCTGAGATCACACCCCAAGAAAGATATCTGTCTGGAAATGGGGACTTCTGGTGAAAAAGATCATATAACACCAATGCCCTAACATCTAATTAGGACAGAACATTTCCTATCTTTTTTTCTAACTTGCAAAGGTTAAGGAAGTGCCTTATGGATTATCAAAGTTGCTGAAGCGGTAGTTTTTCCTCCCTCAACAAATGACATTGGCTTAAAGGGAGAAATTACAATAATCAAAGCTGTCCAAAAATATCACCAATCTCTTATCAGGGGAGGCCCTCATTCCTAGACATGCCTAAGTAAAAGTTTCATAATAAGCTGCAGATTATTAAAGGGTAGGGAGCAGGAGAGATCCTGAGGAGACTGGTCATAGGGCTTAGAGAACTCAAAGGTTTAGGATGAGATAAGGCACAGGGGAGACTTCTGATGATGGGGTGTAGTTAGAAGGGGTTGGGAAACTAGGATGTGGGACTGGGCAAACCAAAAGGAGATACCAAAATCCACATTTGGCAAAAATATGATTTCAGGTCTCTTCGGCTCTCTCCGTTGCTGGGAGGCTGTGAAGGAGGCAAAGAAAGGGCCATTAGTCTGTACATTTCAGTCTTTCTGCCTGTCCCACCTTCCCTATCATCCAGTTCTGGCTTCCTGACTCTACCTCCCTCCAAGACCCTTTAGTCTTCTGTAATATTCCATACTTTTGTCCTGTCTCATTTTCCTTCTCAGCTTTATTCAGTCCTTACCAAGCTTCCCCAGAAACCGAGTCATATTCTCATCCTGTTTGGCACTCGTAACAACAGACTGGGGATTGATTTCATCCAGAACTTGGAAGGAGAATGAAGACCAAATGAGTTAAAGAATCTTTGTCATTTGACTAAGAGAAAACCCATAACCCTTTCCTTGCTATCTCCCTTCCCATCTCAAAAACGTATTTCCTCTAAGAGCAGGGAGTGTCCAACACATTGGGAGCATAGGTAGGAGTCAGGCATGAGAATTAGGAAAGAAGAGGGTAATGAGACTGGTGAGGGATGGGAGGGAAAAGAAGTATCCTGGAGATTGTCAATAGACTATAAACCCCAACAGGACAGACAGGACTGTTTTGCCCAGGACTGTATCTCCAACACTTGGTACATTGTGAACACCTAAACATATCTGTTGAATAATGAAATTCCTAAGAACAACAGGCCATCCTCTGGAAATCAACTAATAAAACCGACTGAGTCAGGTAAGCACATGAGTGAAAGACATTTCCAAACACAGAGTAGAGAAATTGCTGGTTCCTCTCCCACCTCTCTGAAGGAGCTTGAGGTTCTCGTGGTCTGGGGCGTCTGGCATGAAGTGGATGGTGGAGTCACTAGTGTCATAGTAGGCAATGCCCAAGTGGCCTAAATTCCACAGCACACACAGATGGATCTTTTTCGAGGAAGAAAGGAAACCAGTATTTGAACCACTTCTCAGTGCAGGATTGTGCCGTGCCTTACTGAATTTTCACCATTTTCTCAAATCTCTGAGACAGGGATCATCACCCCCTTCAGACGTGAAACAGACGTCAGCGGTGATGAGTAACCAGCCCAGCCCAGCCCAGCCCTCCTTGGTCAACTAACTCCTCGCCCTCCCCATTCTTTGGAGCTCTCGCTCCAGCGACCTCGCCGCCCCAGAGACCTCCGCTGGCTCCTCCGCGTCATCCTCTTCCGCCTCCCCAGGGCCCGGCACCGGGGTTGCGCTAGGAAAGCTGGTCGCTGACGCCTCGGATCCCAGTCCCTGCGGCGTCCCGCCTGTGGTAGTTCCCACTAAGGCCATGGCCTGGGAGGCTCTGAGGATGCGGAAAATAATAGCGGTTCCTGAGCGAGCGTTCACCCTGAGTTGGCTGGCGGGGGAGGCGCGCCCAACTGCAAGTTCATTGAGAAGTCTGGGAGAGGGCTGAGGCGAGAAATAAGTCACATTTTGTTTTCAAGATTTGTGGGGCATTTCGAGAGGTGACCTCAGGTATTTCACTGACGCATGAACTATGGAAACCCCCCATTTCTGTCACGTAGAGGGTGTATTTTGATGGACACGGTCTGAGGAGTCAGTGCAAGTCTGCTCTTCCAGTCCTAGCCAGCCACGCCCCCACGTCCACAGACCACGCCCCCATAACCTGAGCTCCACATTCTCAACTTCCCCACCCCACTTGCGCACAATTTGTGGGGTTTTCCCGCCTTTTCTGTCACTTGGACCACGACGAGCGCGAGATCGCGTCACTAACAGCCACGGGCCTGCGGGAGGAGCGCGCCAGCGCGCGCACACGCCCCACCCCTTTAGTCACTATTGGTGGGAGAGACCCGAGAGGGATGTAGTCGTTGAAAAGGATGGACGTTGATTGGCCTATTTTTAAACGGGGCGTCGCCAGAATGTTCAAACTTCCCGCTCTCTTCCGTTGCTTAGCACCCAGGCCTTTTGCCCTCAGGGTTTCTGGGATTTGATTAAACGGGGTGGAGCCTGTGAGAAGACCGGAAGCAGTGGTTGTATCCAAGCCCCCGGAACTGTGCTAGGGTATTTGCCTGGGGGGTGGGGATCTTAAAGGGCCAGGGGCGCGTTTTTTGTTTTTTTCCTGGAGAGTGGAGATAAGTAACAGTATTCAATCTGTGCCAACAACTCTTAAGTTAACATTTGTCCCTCTGAGTTAGTATTTATAAAGAACTTAGAACAGTGCCTGGCAAAGTAGTAAGAGCTACCGGAATGCTTTTTAAAAAATATTTTATTTGCCCTGGGTGGTGTAGCTCAGTGGATTGAGCGCGGGCTGCGAACCAAAGTGTCGCAGGTTCGATTCCCAGCCAGGGTACATGACTGGGTTGCAGGCCATAACCCCCAGCAACCACACATCGATGTTTCTCTCTCTCTATCTCCCTCCCTTCCCTCTCTAAAAATAAATAAATAAAATCTTTTAAAAATATATTTTATTTATTTATTTTTAAAGAGGGGGGAAGGGGAGAGGGAGAGAAACACAGATATGTGGGTTGCCTCTTCAAGATCCCCAACCCCAGACATGGCCTAAAACTCAGGTATGTGCCGCCACTGGGAATCTAAATGGTGACCTTTTGGCCTGCCAGGACAACCCCCAACCCATTGAGCTACACCAGTCAGGGTGTGTGTTTTAAATAAGCAGAAATAAGTGAGGCTCCTATCATAGTCCTTCTTTGCTAATTTCCTGGGTACAGTATACAGCCAACCCAACAAGGGCATTGTAGGACCTAATTTATTCACTTTTGAATAAATTGACTAATTTATTTCATGTTCAGTTTTATTTATTGATTTTAGATGGGGGTGAAAGAGAGAAACATCGATTTGTTGTTCCACTTATTTATGTATTCATTGTTGATTCTTATATGTGTCCTGACAGGGATCAAACCTGCAACCTTAGTGTATGGGGAATGATGCTCTAACCAACTGAACTACCTGGCCAGCACAGGCCTAATTTATAATTTCAGCCCCCCAAGAGGAAATGAAAGTGTTGGAATTACACCAAATTCCAGCAGAGAGTAGACCTGATAAGAAAACCAACACCACCATACAGCGACACAACGCAATGACATGGTTTGCCCTGCCCTGGTGAATACCTAAGGCTCTGCCCCTTACTCCATAACAGGTGCGCCAAGACAAAAAAAAAATATGGTCCAAATGAAAGAACAGATCAAAGCTCCAGAAAAAAATACAACTAAGTGATGAAGAGAGAGCCAACTTATAAGATGCAGAGTTCAAAACGCTGGTAATCAGTATGCTCACAGAAATGGTTGAGTATGGATGCAAATAAAGGGTATAAAAATAGAGGAAAAAGTAAATGCTATGAAAAGTGAAATAAAGGAAAATGTACAGGGAGCCAACAGTGAAGGGAAGGAAACTGGGACTCAAATCAACATTTTGGAGCAGAAAGATGAAAGAAACATTCAACCAGAACAGAATGAAGAAACAAGAATTCAAAAAAATGAGGAGAGGTTTAGGAATCTCCAGGACAACTTTAAACATTCCAATATCCAAGTTATAGCAGTCCCAGAAGGAGAAGAGGAAGAACAACAAGTGGAAAACTTATTTGAAAACATAATGAAGGAGAACTTCCTAAACCTACAAAGGAAATAGACTTTAAGGAAGTCCAGGAAGCTCAGAGAGTCCCAAAGAAGTTGGACCCAAGGAGGCACTCACCAAGGCACATCATCATTACATTACCCAAGATTAAAGGTAAGGAGAGAGAGAATCTTAAGAGCAGCAAGAGAAAAGGAGATAGTTACCTATAAAGGAGTTCCCATGAGACTGTGTGCTGATTTCTCAAAAGAAATCTTGCAGGCAAGAAGGGGCTGGAAAGAAGTATCTGAAGTCATGAAAGGCAAGGACCTACATCCAAGATTACTCTATCCAACAAAGCTACCATGTAGAATGGAAGGGCAGATAAAGTGCTTCCCAGATAAGGTGAAGTTGAAGGAGTTCATCATTACCAAGTCCTTATTATATGAAATGTTAAAGAGACTTAATCTAAGAAGATAAAAATACGAACAGTAAAATGACAACAAACTTACAACTATCAACAACCAACCCTAAAAAAGCGGGGTTGGGGGGGAATGAACTAAGCAAACAACTAGAACAGGAATAGATTCACAGAAATGGAGATCACATCGAGGGTTATCAGCAGAGAGAGGGAGTGGTAATGGGGGAAAAGATACAGGGAATAAGAAGCATAAATGGTAGGTACAAAATAGACAGGGGGAGGTTAAGAGTAGTACGGGAAATTGGAGAATCCAAAGAACTTATATGTATGACCCATGGACATGAACTAAGGTGGGGGAATGATTGTGGGAGGAGGCATACAGGGTGGTAGGGAATAAAAGGGAGAAAAAAAATGGGACAACTGTAATAGTATAATCAATAAAACATATTAAATTTTTAAAAATGAACACCAACACTGCTATTGGGACATGGCCATAACCCTGGGCACACAAATACACCCTAAGGACAGAAGGGTGCCATTCATTCCTACAGCAACTATTTAGTGCCTGCTCTGGGCCGGGTGGTGGATTCAAAATAATGAACATAGTTAAGTGTTCAGTCTTCAAGAGGCTAACTTTTCAGTGTGTGTGAAGGTAGGAGAAGCAAGGAAATTGTGAGACAAAAATAAAAATATATGTACTTTAAAAAATAGATCCCTTAAAACACATCTTCTTAGCCTTGTTCTGAGTACCCTGAGATAGGGAGATCCCACCCAAGAATTTAGGAAAGGTGGTGGAGTAACCTGGCCCTGCTAAACAGTGATTGGAAAATGCCCTCTATCAAGAAAGGAGGGAGATCGAGTTAAGGACAAGGTTAATGGTTACACATAGCAAGTTATTGAGCAATGGCGCTAAGGAAACCTGGAGGAGGTTGATGAGGAGTGTCTAAGGAGTGTCTGGGAGGGGCACACCTTCCAATCTGGGGTGGGAAGAGATTAGGGACTGGTTTACCAAGCCCAGGAAGGGAAGGGAGTAGAAAGAGAAACCTGTGCAGAAAAGGAAAGGGAGGATATTGAGATAAGAGACAAGCAAGGGTGAGGAGATGAAATGGGAGGGAGACCTTTGAATCAGGATTTGGGGCATTGCTGTATGGTATCAGGAGAGTGCAACATCACCTGTCATCTGGGGAAATTAAGGCAAAAATACCTTGTGTGTAGCCATGCCAGGCAGGCAAAGTCAATATTGATGATGGAGGCAGCTCTAGCTATAAAGCTGTAGGAAAGAAAAAAAGAGGCAAGGGTGAAGCTGCCAAACCTGTTTGAGCTCATGGCTGGCCCCACTTGCTCGAGGCTTCTCCTAGAGGGAATATCTTTGTGTGGCAGATTCTCTTTCTCCACAAAACTATAGCGGAAGAGGCCTCTGGGAAGTAAGGTTGCTTTGACATCCCTCAGATAGAAGGGGTCCTATTTGCAGATTTGAAGGTTCCCGTGGAAGAAATTTCCTGTACATGCACGTATTTATGGAATCATTGTACATCCTTATAGGATGTTACAATTCAAGGGAGCAAATACCAAATATATCCATCCCCTCTCTGGGGAGGAAGGAGGTAGGCCTTCTAGGGAGGTGAAAACCTCCAGAAGAGGAAGCATGAGAGGAAACCACAAACTGCTTGTTTCCAGCAGCCTCTCTTGTCATTCCACTCCACTCCTCCCCCAAGTCCCTCCCTTTTTTAAAGTTTCAAGCTGTTTTGCTCTTGTGTCTTTGCACTCACCAAGTTTTCCTGGTCTTTTTAGACACAGAGTGATGAGGGGAAAAAAGAATGGATAGTTGGATAGGAGAGTTAAGATATAGAGGCTGGAATATATTCCGTTTGGAGGCCACATTCTTGGGTTATTTTTCAGCGGATCATAGTTTGATAGACCTCCAAAATCAAGGTGACTGAGAAGGGAGAGAGCTACTCTCCCTGTCTTATTTATTTGTGTCCCCAAGGCCTCCATTCACTCTCACTCTGCTCCTGTTTGATCTTTGTTTTTTACCTATGATAGGGCCAGCTAACGCCCCCATCCCAGGATTCCTGGGGCCAAAACTACCCTACCCTTTCACACCGCGTTGAAGGCAACCTGTTAGTAACTGAAGGGCAAAAGGAACAGGAACGCGCGCGCCCCCCGTCCCCCGCCCGCCCTTTAGGGGGTGCTTAAGTGGAAGCATTAAAGCTGACCAAGCTAAGGAAGGGGAGCGAACCTCCCGCAGTGATGAGGGCGATAGGCTCAGCTTCCTATTTCCCTAGCACAGGTCTGGTTGTCTCCTTATTCCCTGCCCTACTTTTCACCCCTCTCTTCTCCGAGCTGTAGCTTCCAATTCGAAGCTCCCCTCCTTATGCGTGGTCCTAGCAACGCATAATTTGGACTGATATCTGGAAGGAACTAGGGAAAACGACCATCTTCCTGTCCTA